TAACAGTAGATGCAGCAGAGGTGACTGAACGAAATAAGAATAGACAATCGGAAGGAAAAGTTGTTGAGAAAAGAAAATGGGAGGGGCCTTCATCTTTTCGAGGACCGAAAACTGTTAGATATGATAACAGATCTGAGCAGAAGATCAGTGAAAAAGTCTGCTCACAGTGTCGACAGGTTCACCAGGGAGAATGCAAGATGGACCCAAGGAAATGTTATAAGTGCGGTGAGGCAGGTCATTTATCTAGAAATTGCCCAGCTAATCGAAGGTGTTTTAATTGCAATTCTCCGAATCATATTCGACCAAATTGCCCCTTGTTAAGAACTCCACAGTTAACAATGGGGAGTAATGCGTCGGGTACACGGGGAAGATCTACTGTGAATAGAGGAGGGCAAGGAGGGGCGCGAGGATGATCCTTCCAGATGACTAAAAACGAGGTAGAAGCATCACCGGATGTAGTAACAGGTACATTCCTCCTGAATTCAATACGTGCTAAGGTGTTATTTGACTCGGGTGCAAACTTTTTGTTTGTATCACCATTGTTTTCTCAAACTGCATGTCTGAATTCTGTGCTACTTGATGATAAATTAGTAGTTGATACTACTAATTGTCAGGAGACTGTTACTAGTGTGTTCAATAACTGTATTATTGTTATTGAGGACTGTGAATTTCCGATCCGGTTATTTCCCATGCCAATGAAAGAATTTGACGTAGTAGTGGGTATGGACTGGTTGACAAAGTATCAGGCTAGTATTGTTTGTAATCAGAAAATAATCAGGATTATTCTGCCAGATCAGAGAACAGTTGTTATTTATTGTGATCGTCAGAATCATCATACCAGTATTTTGTCAGTTATGAAAGCCCGGAAAAGTATTCGAATGAAGTGCCAAGGATGTTTAGCATATGTAATTGATCTGCGGAAAGAAAAGGGAAAAGAAGAATTAATTCCAATTGTTAGTGAATATCCAGAAGTCTTTCCAGAAGACTTATCTGGATTACCACCAGATAGAGTCATTGAATTCCGAATCGATCTTGTACCAGGAGCTGCACCGATAGCAAAGGCACCATACCATTTAGCTCCATCTGAATTGAAAGAATTGGTGGCAAAGTTGAAAGATTTAACTAATAAGGGATTTATTAGGCCTAGCACTTCGCCCTGGGGTGCTCCGGTCTTATTTGTTAAGAAAAAGGATGGGTCTATGCGAATGTGTATAGACTATCGTGAATTAAATAAGTTGACAATTAAATACAAATATCCTTTACCAAGGATTGATGACTTGTTTGATCAATTGGTGGGAGAAAGTTATTTCTCCAAAATCGATTTGAGGTCAGGATATCATCAGCTTAAAGTCAGGGAAGAAGATGTTAACATAACAGCATTCAGGACAAGGTACAGGCATCACGAATTCTTAGTTATGCCATTCGGCTTAACTAATGCACCTGCAGCTTTTATGGATTTGATGAATAGGGTATGTAAGGAATATCTTGATAAATTTGTTATTGTATTTATCGATGATATTTTTATATACTCTAAAACCGAAGAAGAACATGCGAAACATCTTCGTTTGATACTGGAAATATTGAAGAAAGAAAAGTTGTATGCCAAATTGTCCAAGTGTGARTTCTGGTTAAGARAAGTTCAATTTTTGGGTCATGTTATCTCAGAAGCCGGGGTACAAGTAGATCCAGTAAAAATAGAAGCAGTTGAAAAATGGGAAGCTCCAAAGACTCCATCTAAAGTTCGTAGCTTTTTGGGTTTGGCAGGTTACTACCGGAAGTTTATTCAAGACTTTTCTAAAATAGCCGTGCCATTAACCAAATTGACTCGAAAGAATGTTAAGTTTCAGTGGAAAAAAGAACAACAAGAAGCTTTCCAACTATTAAAGGATCACCTCTGTAGTGCGCCGGTATTAACTCTACCAGATGGATCCAAAGACTTTGTGGTATACATCAATGCTTCAAAGTTAGGATTAGGATGCGTTCTGATGCAAAGAGGAAAAGTGATTTCTTATGCGTCAAGACAATTGAAAGATCATGAGAAACAGTATCCGACTCATGATATGGAATTAGCCGCGGTAGTATTCGTTCTAAAAATCTGGAGGCATTATCTTTTGGGAACAAAGTGTCAAATTTACACAGATCACAAGAGTCTACAACATTTATTCAGCCAGAAAGATTTAAATATGTGACAGCGTCGGTGGATTGAACTTGTTAATGATTATGACTGTGAAATCCTATACCAACCAGAAAAAGCCAACGTGGTAGCTGACGCAATATTTATTAACATGTTATTGTGTCAGAGCGTCAGACAGTGGTCAAGTTAGCCATCAATTAGACATAAGTAATCCATTCATATATATCAATGAACACTAATGATAAATTTTAATTAGTTATCGATTTAATTAAATTTTAAAGTTAATCCGTCAATATTTAATCAAATTATTTTTTACTTTTTAATTTGAAAAATCACCAACAAAATATATTTTATTTTTAATTAAAATCAATTTAATCAATACTCTTTTTTAAATGTAAATATTTTTTTGTAAATGTAAGTAATTTTTTTAGTATATTTGTTTATTTTTATAGATCTAAGTTCTCTTTTGGTTCAAAAAATGTGTAAGGACCTAATTGTTCAAAATATAAAAATGTATTGGTTTTTTTTCAGATTTTTTTCATTATTTTACCATATTAACCAGTTATATAGGTCATAAGAATGTATCTAACAGGTTTTAGAAAGTCCAACAAGTTATTTAACATGTTTTAAAATATCCAAACACTTAATCATTTCAACCATTAAAAACAATTGGATTTTTCGATTCATGAAAATAATTATTAGTTTTAAATAATAGAAATGTGAGGTACGGGTGGCATCGTCATCCTGTGTCTCTTCAGATGTGGATTGACACCTCAATTATCTGCATTGACATCTCAATTCTCATCATCCCCTCCAATTATTTATTTAATTAGTCCCAATCCATCCATCCATCCTCCTTGAATAATAATAATAATAATTATTACTATTATCTATATTGTATTATAAAAAATTTAACAAAAACTCTTAAAAATCATTATTATTTATTGATGCATATTACTTGAAATTCAAGATTACAAGTAAATTGTGTATAAGTACAACTTATTAAAGCTTCATGTAACTAACTGTAGATAAACATAATTAAATAAAAAATAAACATCTCATTTTAAATATAAAAAATCTAAAATATAATTAGGATAGTCATTAACCTCTAAAAAAATACTTAATTATCATCTTTATAAAAAAAAAATATATTATTAAACCAAAAATAAATAAATAAATAAACAAAAAGGGGAGAAATTTTAAATAGTTTAATATCAATATTTTTTTTCAATTTTTTTTATCATATCCTCATATTTATATTTTATTTTTTAAAAATAAAAACATTACACTTTCTTAAAACCACATAAAACCATATTATAACATCGATTGAGACAAAGAAAAAACGAAACATTAAAATCAAAATATATCTCACTACATTGTGCGAGTACCCTTCTAACATTAGTTAAACATGCCTTTAACAATAAAAGATGAAATAACAAAGATAGACTTATCAAAATTACCATTTTGCCTCTTTCATGGTTTTTTATATAAAAATATGAATGTATCTTCGTTTGATGTTGTTTATATAAAAATATATATAGTATGGTAGATAAGTCCATTGGTGGCATTGATCCTCGATGCCTCTTTCTTAAATCTGCCATTCAATATCATGTGAGCTTGTAGAAAATTATTTAGATTTAGATTTAGAATTTGAATTGAAACTTAAAAAGTATTGTACGGATATTTTTGTTTTGTTTGATTTAAATGGGTGGGCACATTTCGAGTTAAATTAGGTAAGGTATAACGATACATTTGTCCTTGTTAAATCATATACAAAATGCATGATTTGACACAAAGTAACCTATTAGCGTATTTGTTGATTTTAAAACCCATTTACTACAATTACATTTTCTTTAATAAAATATTAGATTTGAAAGCATGTTCAAAGATGACACGACTCTTTTTTCCTCCACAAATCATTTACATAATTGAAAATATAAAATACAACCATCATTTATCTATCTATTTTATTTATACTAGATTATAACACAATTTTTTAAAATTAGATTAAGTTTTAACATCCTAAATTCAACAATAACTAATATAAAAGATAACCTTAATTATTATTATTATTATTATTATCTTTATCTAAAATAAACTTTATCTTTTATTTTTAAATTTACAACATTTTAATTCTATTATTTTCCCCATAAATTTAACTATTAATTATTTTTGACAACCTGGTTTTATTGTATTGCATGATAATCATGTGATATTTATTATTAATATTTTAATTAAAGATAAAATATATTTTTTAAATTATAAATAGATGGATGAAAGACTAAATATATAAAAGAAATAAAAAAAAAAAAAATGAAATAGAGTTCCTTCCATCTTCATGATGCGTCCTTCCTTTAGATCCTCTATAAATATCTAACATATCTTCAACCCCACCCTCCCCATCCTCATCCCCATCCCCATCCCCATCCTCTCCCAAATTTCTCCAACCTTAATTTTAATTTCCGGTTCCCGGTTCGGATGTCAAACATGATTTGTGCATCGTTTACATTATCAAAGGTCTCGTCTTTTTCCATCTTTCTTTGTTCTGTTTCTTTTCCCCAATCATTGATGCTTAATGTCGATTTTGTGAAGTCTCGTGTATGTTTTGCATGAAAACTTGCGATAGGATTCATGTTTATGGGACTTAACAGAAGCCAAACATTAGTTTGAAAGAAAAAAAAAACAGTTTTGTTTTGTTTGAATTCCCGAGTCATGCAACACCACGTGTCGTTGCTTCATCGGGATTCTAAAATTATGTTTCAATATGTATATCATCATGACGTAAAGGATAAGACCAATAAACCATAGAAATTATGGTTGAGAGCTTTGAACATATCTAAAACCAAGATGATTGGAGTCCAGATCTTTGGATGGATGTTTTTTAATCATAATTTTCCCAATTTTTGCTTCTTTTTTCTTACTGAAATTGATGGTGAATCGTAAAGTTCTAGACCGTGTATGTGTTTTAATAAAGACAAATAAACTAGTGTGGGAAATAATAATTTAAAGGGGAACAACAAGTCAAAGAGAGCAGCTAGTAATAAAGTGTGTTTGCAATTGGAGATTTTAGAGAGATGGAGGGTATGGATGCAATTTATGAGAGCTGCGGAGCCGTTGTATTTAATTTTCATTTAGAACCCTTGTACTTTTTAAGTATGACACTTGTACCCAAAGAATAATGTTTATTTGCATCTAAATCCTGAATCAGAATTCATCTTGTTTTAATGAAGGTTGGTGCAAGACGCTTGACCATACAGGCAGCTTCTGCGCTTCGAGCAACTGAACCGGTTTTTAGGTATTCTATTAATTTCTTTTTAAATCAAAATATAATCAATAATTATTAGAGATAATTCTAAAACATTATTTGATTTTTTTTTTCTTTTGTTTTATTTTTGGTTGGTAGAGACGAGGAATATGCAGATATTGATTGGAATAATCTGGGATTTGGTCTCACACGAACCGATTACATGTACGTAGCTAAATGCACGGAGAACAAGGAATTTCAGCAAGGTGAATTAAGTGATTATGGCAATGTTGAATTAAGCCCGGCTGCCGGAGTTCTAAACTACGGCCAGGTAGATTATAAATATAATTATAATTATAATTATAATTATGAATTAAACTTGTTTCTAGTCTGTCTAATGAAGTTTTAATAGTGAAGAAATAATCGTGTAGGGACTTTTCGAGGGTACAAAAGCTTTTAGGGGAGACGATGGTCGGGTTTTTCTGTTTCGTCCGGATCAGAATGGTATTCGTATGCAAATCGGAGCCGAGAGAATGTGTATGCGATCCCCTTCTGTACAACAATTTGTAGATGCAGTCAAACAAACGTCTCTTGCAAACAGACGTTGGGTATTTTCTCATTCTCAATTTCATTCTGCACTCGTAATGTAACAAAATATTAAAGATGAAACACATAAAACCAAACATATTTCCTTTTGATCACACATAAAAAAAATCGATTTTTTCTGTCTCTCCATTGGTTTATTATGAAAAAAAACGAAACTTGGTTTAATTTTATTAGCTTATTGGGATTTTCTTTTTCCAGATTCCACCTCCAGGAAAAGGGTCACTTTACATAAGGCCTTTGCTCATAGGAAGTGGGCCTATATTGGGCTTATCTCCTGCTCCTGAATACACTTTCTTAGTATATGCTTCCCCTGTTGGCAACTATTTTAAGGTTTCATTCCACTTCATTTAATTTTATATTTTGTAAATGGCATTGAAGTTTATATCTATACGGTTTGGGTGTACAAACGTACAGAATGGCATGGCACCACTGAACCTATACGTTGACAATGAGTTTCATCGTGCAACTCGTGGGGGGGCAGGAGGTGTCAAAAGCATTACAAATTATGCTCCGGTAAGAAGGTTGGAACTTGGGTTATATTATGAAATTAAGAAATACTGAAAGATAGAAGATACTTGTGAGGTTAGGTACTGAAAGCGGTGTTGAGAGCAAAGGAACAAGGGTTCTCGGATGTCGTGTATCTTGATTCGGTCCATAAGAAATACATCGAGGAGGCCAGTTCTTGTAACATTTTCCTTGTCAAGGTATTCCCTTTGAAATGAAAGCGTCATTAGCTAGTTATATGCATGTTAGTTGGCTGGCTGGCTGGCTTATATTTGCATGTGGTTTCCAGGGGAATGTTATTTCAACTCCTGCAACAATTGGTACTATCCTTGAAGGAATCACAAGGAGGAGCATCATCGATATCGCAAGTGATTTAGGATACCAGGTAAAACCATTCAAAGCTATTGCTTTCATTTACATTAATTTTAATCTATAACTAAAGTTTATCTTTTTTTAAAAGACATTTGACATTAATCTAAAAATTGTGTCCATGAATTTATACAGGGTTAATTTTGTTAGTGTTTCATCATACTCCGCCCATGATGATATATCCTTTATGATTTCTCTGAAACAGTTTCAACTGTTGTAGGTTGAGGAACGTTGTATCGCAATAGATGAATTGATGGAAGCTGATGAAGTTTTTACTACTGGAACAGCTGTTAGTGTCGCTTCTGTCGGCAGCATAACATACAAGGGTCAAAGGTAATAATGATCCGCTCTTGATTTATTCTTATCAAATTGATAATACCATCCAAGCTTATAAATGGTGGTTGTGTTTTGTTTTTTGTTGGCAGAGTTGAGTATAAAATAGGTGACGAGATGGTGAGCCAAATATTACACAAAACGTTAGTAGGGATTCAAGTTGGAAGGATTGAAGACAAACACAATTGGGTTGTTGAGATTGACTGACAATTATATTACATGATACATATTACTTTTATTTTATTTTATTTTATTTTATTTTATGTAGAATGATATAATAAGGGTTGGTGAGAAATATAGAATGAAAAAGGGTATAATATGTACCAAGGATAAGAGCCCTTGTAAAAGGAAATATATCCACTTTCTAATATACTAACAATTTTCTTAAAAGTAGGGGTGTAAAAAAATCCAACTCGCTAACCCAACCAAGAATTAACAGGTTGGGTTGAGATTCTTAACCCATTTAAATAAATTGGTCAATCCGTCTAACCCATTTAAATAAACGGGTTGGATTAGGTTGAATTTTTCGATCTGTTTTCAATCCGTTTACAACCTGTTTTCAACTCATTTAAATAAACGGATTGGATTGGGTTGAATTTTTCGACCTGTTTTCAATCCGTTTACAATCTGTTTCCAACCCATTTAAAATATATATAATTTTATTTCATTTTTAATATTATATCTAGTATTCTAATTTTTAATTTTGCTATATTTTTAATTAAAAATCCTACCGTCGTGAGATGAAAATCTAAATTCCAATCCCCTCCATTACTCTTAATCATCATGAAACCCTAAGAAAACCTTTTAGTCTATTACTCCATTATCGTCTCCTAAGTCCAATCCAACTCTTGAAGTCTGTTGTCCGCCTCTCGCCCTCTCGATCTCGGCTCTCTCCGTGCAATGTTTTTCTTCCTTTCGGCTCTCTCTCCGTCAAACATTTGTCTAATTGTCTCCCTCTCGATTTTCTCTTCGTCCAAACGTCCAACATTAGTGACTCAACAGGCTCTCCGAGTCTCCGTCTAACATCTATCTCCCGTCTCCAGCCTCTCGTCGAACACACACTCAAATCTCAATAGTAAGTTTTCTATTTTCTGTTTTAACACTCAATTCTTATGCATTTATAAGTAATATTAATATTAAACACACATTCAAATCTAAAAGTTTAGTCAACAATACTTTTTCAGTGATATGGTTAATATTAATAATGTTTCTTTTTCTCGTCCAAGTTCTAGTCTATTTTCCACTATTCCAATAGTAGGTTCATTATAATGTTTGTTTTTTTATATGGTTCTTTTAGTAACCTCTAACCAATACTATTTCAATGATCATTGATTAATACTATTTCGTTTTGCGAAACAAATAGAGGATCAAGAGGAAAGTAATACCGAGAGTAAGGGGCTGTTTACCAAATCTTACTGGGTAAGTGCTGTCCGGGTAAGAGTGCTGACCCGGGTAAGTGCTATCCCGGTAAGTGCTGTCCCGGTTAAGAATGTTTACCAAATGTTTTTGGTAAGTGCTTACCAAAAATATAATGACCATTATAACCCTATTTGTAATTATATATTGAATAATATATGATTATTTTTGTTATTAATAGTTTAATGGAAGAAAAAAAATAAAATGTATATTTTAAATAAATGTTTACCAATAAAAATAATACCATTTTACTTCGTTTCATATGTTAACTGTCAAAAGACAACAAAATATAATTTTAACTTTTTACCACTAGCAATGAAATATATCATATGGGTTTTATAGTGGAGTGTAGGTTCCATAGGTTTAGGGTTAGAGTTAGGTGTCATGATATATTGATGCCACCTACTTTGGCTAGGTACAAGTTTTTAGACCCCTAATGTCCCATCTCTCTTTACCTGCAGCCCATTGCCTACACCTCCTTCTTTTCCCTAGTATTGTCTTATTAAAATTTTAAATCAGTCGTTTCTTGGTGTCACAGTATTATACAGACCCTACCCTCTCCCCACCCCCACTACTTCTTCTTCTATACCCATTTCCAGTAAAATCTCTCCATAAAAAATGTCCCTTTCTGATTCATTAATGAAAACCTTGTCCAGATGAACATGAATCGGCAACCGACGTCTTACTTCATAATCGTGAAGTGATCACCACCAACTAACAAAGTTCGACGAAAACACCTCAATAGTTGGTCAATCGTTATCGTCATGGCAGATCACCATCATCATCATATCGTTTTTCCCCACACTTTTCTCGTATTTTGCCATCTACAACATCAACTGTATATGGGAATCAGACTGTGGTTCCCAAATCGATTACCAGGGATGAAAGGCGAGCGACTATGAGGGGAGGTGAGGAGCGTCGAGAGTCGGGAGCGACAGGCTGGAGGAAGGAACGATGGGGAGAGAGGAGGAGCGACTGGAATGGAACGATGGGGGAGACAAGAATGAGATGAAAACCTAATTGTGTGAAAGGGGCAAGCATGGAAAAATGAAATCTGACTCGGGTAAGCAACATTTTCGTGCGGTCTCGGTCAGCATTCGGTCAGCATCTCGGTCAGCTTCCGGTCAGAGTGGTAATTCGGTAAACAAACTGACTGCTGACCGGTCAGCGCCTAGTAAACAGCCCCTAAACTTGGGGTTGGTGAAAGTGGAAGTCGAGTTACTTAGAATTTAAAGTTTTCCAATTTATTTTGAACAATATATTTGTTATGTTTGTGTTTTATTCAAACATTGAACAATTTGTTTGTATTTGTGGTTGTGTTGTGTTTTATTCAAAAAATAAAAATAAATAGTCTAGTCCCCTTTTTTTATTTAAAATTTTGAAATTAAATGGGTCAATCCAGGTTCAACCCATTTATTTAATAGGTTGGGTTAAGAAAATCGTAAACATGTCAACCCGTTGTCAACCCATTTAGGTAACAGGTTGGGTTGGATTGAGATTTTCAATCTATTTAATAAATGGGTTGAACTCGAACTCAACCCAACCTGACCCATTACCACCCCTACTTAAAAGAATTAACTTTTAATTTCAAAATATATTTATACATAGTTGTCTCTAAGAAGTTATATAAAAATCATGGACAATAGATACATACACATGATAAGGGAAATTGACACACACATACACATATTAAGCTTATGTAGGTGTCATCACTAACCATGTATTTGGTAGGGATAACTATAACACCCTCAAATTTAACTTGTTGAGTTTGCACCTGAGTTCTTTGTTGATCCAAGTTTCTAGCTACAATATAGGGATAACTATTTCATTCAAAACTGAATCTTATGCTTATGGATTCATTGTATTATAACCTAAATTAAATGACCCAAATGAATGACCACACACTCGAAGCATGTAATAACTCAAATAAATATGTCATAACTGTATATAACTACAGAGCTCAACATAAGCAAATTAAACTGGACAAATGTCCCAAAGACTCATCTGAGTCAAAACCGATCCAAAAGCTCCACAACCCAATTGACTATTCAATAAAAGTCATCAAAAGCGATAAAAACATATTTTGCCATGTTTATGCAAACACAAAAACTCATTATTGGTTGGAACAAACCATTTTTCAATTTAAATCATGCCATTTATATATCCAAAATGTCCCATCATACTAATATGCACTTTCCAAACCAAATAAACAACAATGCATTATCACTAAATAATCTGCATTTGTAGGATAAATCATTAAAATAACCCACACTTATGATTTATTTATCAAAATGTCCAAAACCCACTAAATACGGGTATTTCTTGAGATTTATAAGATGAAGTATACCAAGTAAGTAAAACTTCACCAAATAACTCACACATTTGATAAATTCCAAGTAAGACACATTAATACTTCAAAATGGACGTTTTTGACATTTCACAAAACAACTTGAACTCATATTTGTAGATTAAGTTAAATCTAGGTTCCAAACTCATCTCTAACTTCCAAAAGTGAAGACTTTAGATCCACAAGCAAGGAGCTCTACTCATCTTCTTAAAGCAAGATCCAAGTCTAGGAAGATACCAAAAGCAACTACAAAGTCAAATCCATAACCAACCCAAGCGAACTCAAAATACCCAAAAATGCTTACCCCATCCAAAACTTGGGATCCACAACTATGATTCTTCAATCTCCGTGTCCTTCCTTTCGTTGGCCCAGAAGCCTTTAAAACTCGACCCCGTTAGTGCCAAAATCGACCCATATGAGAAGGAAGTGGAAGAGAGGATAAGAAATAGCCAAACCCTAGCCAAAATGGTTTTAAATCGTATCAGGTGGGTGCCGCGACCTAGCCTGCCACTTAGGTTGTTTATAAAAAAACACTTACCTGAATTTCATTTTTTTTGCAAAATAGGAGATAAACAAAAATATCATGCAACTTATCTCGAAAAGGTCGCAGGGACCCTTTTTCAGCCCGAAATCTCTCATTTCCGTCTGATTCAATCCTCAGTTGTTCTAAAACTATCATTTTTATATATAAAATATTCATTCCAATATCGTTTCGTATGTCAAATGGTCACAAGAGACCCAAACGGAAACCCAAAATCATGGGTATTACAATAACACAAGGTGAAGAATATAAATGAAGATTGTTAATCATGTCTAGTTCAATGAAAAATATAATGTCGATAAGCTTAAAAGATGTTTTACAGAATCATTTATTATAATAAATCATTTTTCTAATATTTGATTATAACTCATTGTTTTGATTTTTTATGATCAAAATAATTAGACCTATGAGAAGAAAATAAAAAGATAGGTTACAGAAAACCTAAGTTTTATAAAATAAATATAGAAATTATGATATTTTGGGGAACACCTCTAAGTTTGTACATTTTACGATGTCTTTGGTTAAATGATTTTATACGAGTGTTTACTCACTAACATGATTTTTTAAGTTTTGTTTTAACTTCTTGCTGAAATTACAAAGATTGCCATAATGATATCACGATGATGCAGTGGCGGACATAGCTAAGTCACAGGGGGCACATGCCCCCAACAAACCACCAAGAAACCTACAAGAAAGAACATGATTTATAGTTTTAAATATATTTTTAACCTAAAATTACAAATACGCCCCCAACAATTAAAAGACAAATCCCCAAATCTAATTCCTACCATTTCATTTACAACTTCCATTTTATTTCATTTGGAGTTACCAATTTAAGAATCAATTAAACTCTAATGTCACTAATTTCTAAGTCTTAACTCACTGAAAGTCATTTTATTTGTCTTGTTTTATTTGCTATAATTTTAATAATTTGATCCATCACTATTTTTTTTGTTTTTTTTTCCAACTTTCTTTTTGCATTTTATTTTTTTAGATTTATAATTATTGTTATTTGTTGATTATTAATTTTCTATTTCTTGATATTTGATTTAGGGTTCTCGAGTTTGTTATTTTGATATAGG